AGAAGACGGGGTGCAACGGCAGCAGCAAGAGCACCAGCAGCAGCAGCAGCAGCAGCAGCAGCAGCAGGACGTGCTGTCACCGCAGCAGCGGGAGACATTGGCTTCTCTCGAGCAGCTGCTGCAGCAATCTGCTGCTGCACCAACAGCAGCAGTTGAGGTCTCCCCCATCAGCGACGACCAGAAAGATTCACAGGACGCATAGCAGCAGCAGCAGCAGCAGCAGCAGCAGCAGCAGCAGCAGCAGGAAGTGCAGTTACACCAGCACTAGTCTAGCAGCAGCAGCAGCAGCAGCAGCAACAGCAGCAGCAGCAGCAGCAGCAGGAACAGAATATCGATGTAGGCTGACGTTGTCTTTTGGGAGTTATTGCGTAGCGAGGAGGCAAGCTGCCTCCACTTGTGCTGCAGCAGCAGCAGCAGCTGCAGCTGCAGCAGCAGCAGCAGCAGCGAAAGCAGCAAGTACCAGTCTTTTGCTGCAGCAGCGCATGCAGCGGTGTGCTGCAGAACAGCTGCTGCTGCTGCTGCTGCTGCTGCTGCTGCATTTTGCGGTGTATCCTTATCGCCTAAACAACTGAACAGTTTTGATATATAAATGCTTCATACAAACCACTTGCTGCTGCTGCTGCTGCTGCTGTTGCTGCTGCTGCTGCTGTTTGTGCTGCAGCAGCAGCAGCTGCTGCTGTTAGCTGTGCTGCTGCTGCTGCTACTGTATGCTGCTGCTGTATGCTGCTGCTGCTGCCTGTGCTGCAGCAGCAGCTCCTGCTGCTGTTTGCGGTGTTGCTGCTGCCGCTGGGTGCTGCTGCTGCTGCTGCTGTTGCTGCTGCTGCTGCTGCTGCTGCTGCGGCTGCTTGTGCTGCTGTTGTTGAGCTGCTCAGTGCGCAGTGTATAGTTATTAAGACGAGTGTGTGTTTGTTGTTTGTTTTTTTTTATTTTAATTTGTTTTGTTTATTTGTTTTTATTTATTTTATTTTTATTTCTTTTGTTTTGTTTGTAGTTTTATTTATTTTATTTTTTTGTTTTATTTTTTTATTCATTTAGTTTTTTTTTTATTTATTTTTTGTGCTGGCTATCTCTTGCTGCAGTGCTTCCGTTTGCTGCTGCTTCTCCTCTCTGCTCGCGTTGCTGCAGCTGCTTCCGCTGCTGCTGTTTCTGTTGCTGCTGCTGCTGCTGCTGCTGTTGCTGCTGCTGTGGCTGCTGCTGTGGCTGCTGCGGGAGCAGCAATGCATTGGCGTGTTCGAGTTCTTCCACTGCTGCTGTTGCTGCTGCTGCTGTTGCTGCTGCTGCTGCTGCTGCTGTTCTTCCTTCTGCTGCCGTTCCTGCTGCTGCTGCTGCTCCTTCTGCTGCTGCTGCTGCTGCCGCTGCTGCTGCTGTGTCTGCAGCTAACACTGGCTGCAGCGCCTCCATTGTCTTGTGGGGCTGCCTGAGGAGACAATCTATTTGAACCCCCAGCAGCCGCCGGGGGGTTAGGTGAGCTCTTGCTGCTGCTGCTGCTGCTGCTGCAGCAACTGCAGCAGCAGATGGCACTTGCTGCAGCCGTGTCTCCCGCCGGTACGCAGCAGCAGCAAGCTTCTGTCGACGCATAAAAACCCCTGAGAAAGAACGCATGCACATACACTAGAAACACATGCAGCAGCAGCAGCAGCAGCAACAGCAGCAGCAGCAGCAGCAGCAGCAGCAACAGCAGTTGTAGCTGCAGTGACACGCAACAACAGCAGCAGAAAGATCAATAGCAATAACAGCCGCAGAAGCAGCAGCAAAAGCAAAAGCAACATCAACAACAACAGCAACAGCAGCAGCCGCAACAGCAGCAGCAGCAACAGCAGCAACAGCAGCAGCAGCAGCAGCAGCACTGCTGTTCTTGCTGCTGCTACAAACCCCCCATCAAGTGGCATTCGCTACCCACAGCTGCACCCATTGTTGCTGCTGCTGCTGCTGCTGCTGCAGCAACAACACCAGCAGCAGCAACAACAGTAGCAGCAAGAACAGCAACAGCAGCAGCAGCAGCAGCAGCAGCAGCAGAGGTACCCGGAATAGCCTGGGTGGAGAGGAGGTGATGGTTCTTCTCAGCAGCAGCAGCAAATCGAGCAGCAAGAGAAGCAGCAGCTTTCAGCTGCAGCAAAAGGAGACAAAAGGAGACAAAAGGAGACAAAAGGAGACAAAAGGAGACAAAAGGAGACAATAAAAAAACAATAAAGAGACAAAAAAGAAACAAAAGGAGACAGAGAGGAGAGAAAAAGAAGAAAATAACATACAGGAAATAAAATAAAAACAATATGAGATAAAAATTAAAAAATAAAAAAAAATAAAAAAAAAAGAAAAAGAAAAAAAAGACAAACAAAAGGAGACAAACAAAGCAAAAAGGAGACAAAAGGAGACAAAAATAAAAATAAAAAAAAAATAAAAAAAAAAAAAAAAAAAAAAAAAAAAAA